ACCTTAACACCTGGGATCTTTGGCCGGTCACAAAGACTCAGAATTTGGGCTCTGCAAGATACCTTAGCGAGAGGAAACCAACGCCAGGAGAGGTCCATTCGCTCAAGGTTAATGCCCGTGCTCTTGTCAACGATATCAGAATGCTACTCACCTCGTTCATATTGCTGTTGTCACACACACACCCGCCTTAGCAATAGAGAGGTGTGGGCAATAGTCTGAAATCTTGAACTTCACTGATAACTCCTTTAGCCAATACCACTTCGATTCTGTGATAATCTGAATGCAAGCTGACCAGAGCTAGCCTACTCTACATAAAAAGTTTATGAATGAAAAAGATGGCAAAAACTACTCACGGTATTAAAAAACTCCGAAGGCACCCACTGACAAAAAATGCATTTCTAGCGGCAATATGTTTTGGTCCCTGGGAGTCCACAGATCGCGCAGTCCCGAGACATAATAAAACTGGACTCCTGTCCAAGTGCCTGAACCAGCCGTCTGCCCTTTGGTTGTCACTGGTCACGCTGTTTTGCTGATGACAGTGTTAAAGGCTGTACTTGCATCAGTTAGGCTTCATCATCAGGCAGGAACCAAGGTGTACACGCACAGGTGAGGGACACGTTTCTGCTGGGACACTGAGTCGCCACACGTGTTCTCCCATTCACAGCAGACAGCTGAGATGTTCAGTTGCCACCTGTTCCCTTCGTGTGACTGGACAAGGAACGTCACAGACACTTGGCTGGGCGAAAACAGGGATCCTGGTACCCACACTGCACTCCCGCCATGAACAAACTATGCAGGAATGATGCCCCGGGGAAAGGCCGAGGAGGGACTGCATTACTGATGTGCCAGAGACAGGAAAAGAACTCCCATAATCCCACTGGCTCTTTAAAAAAAACGATCACTATGTACTCTGTGGCACCTTTTTACAGTAGAACCACTAGTTTTCCAAATAGAATCTGTTGTGGTGTTTCCCCACATACAGACACACGACCACCACCACCACCACCACCACCACCACCACCATCACCATCACCACCACCACCACCACCACCACCACCATCACCACCACCACCATCACCACCACCACCATCACCACCACCACCACCACCACCACCACCACCACCATCACCACCACCACCACCACCACCACCACCACCACCACCACCATCACCACCACCACCACCACCACCACCATCACCACCACCACCACCATCACCACCACCACCACCATCATCACCACCACCACCACCACCACCACCACCACCACCATCACCACCACCACCATCACCACCACCACCACCACCACCACCACCACCACCATCACCACCACCACCACCATCACCACCACCATCACCACCACCACCACCACCACCACCACCACCACCACCACCATCACCCCAGTCCCTCCACGTAAAGACCTGCCGCAGGGCGGGGGGAGGAGGGGCAGCGGGAGACTGCTCTGCTGCAGAGGGGATTGCCTGAGTATACCCTCAGGTCCCTCACAGGGGGGTGTCTCACAGAGGGGAGGGCCTGTGTATACCCTCAGGTCCCTCACAGGGGGAGGCCTGTGTATACCCTCAGGTCCCTCACAGGGGGGGGTCTCACAGAACGGGGGGGGGCCTGTGTATACCCTCAGGTCCCTCACAGGGGGGTGTCTCACAGAGGGGAGGGCCTGAGTATACCCTCAGGTCACTCACGGGGGAGGGCCTGTGTATACCCTCAGGTCACTCACAGGGGAGGGTGTCCGCACCTGGGCTGTGTCAGTGCGAAGGACACCGCGGCAGAGTGAGAGCCTCGCTCCTGGAGGCAGCACTGGGCTGCGAGAGGCCAGCCGGCGAGGAAGCAGCGGTCCCGGGGGACTCGGGGGTAATTTAATCAGCGGCACTTCAGCGCCGCAGAAAGCAAGGGCAGAGGCGTAATGAAGTCAGCACCAGCTCCTCAGCTCTCTGCTCAGCCCGAGGGGCAAATCCGGCCGACCGGAGCGGGCCTCTCCACCTCACAGGGCTCCTTCTGGAATGGTAACTGTGTCACGGGGGCACGCTTGGGCACTGCAGGGTGAGTGACAGCATCCGTAGCCTCCACCAGTCGGGGCAACATGCTCCCCGTTGTGACAAAAATATCTCCAGACAAAACTGCCCCTGTTCACTGCCCTACATCAACTGGAAAAGTGAGTTTGTTGACACATGAGCCGTTTGCTTCTGTATACACAATAGGGAGGTTAGCATAGGGCTGAGAAAGGGGTGTAGACCTCTTTTATGTAAAAACTAGAGGTCTGGTGCGCAAAATTTGGGCACTACTGGGAGAGGGGGGTTCCCTCAACCCGGCCTGTGCCCTCTCGAAGTCCGGGAGCCCTCGGAAGATGTCTGACTGACAGCTTAGGCCCGCGCCCCACCTGCTCCCCATCGGCAGTCGGACACCCTTAGGGCTGCCCTGGAGGCAGGAGAGGCTCCCGCCACTGTGCTGTGCTTACAGCCACGAGCCCAGCTTCTGGCTCCTGAATAGAGTGTCTGCCCCTGGTCAGTGCGCATCATAGCAACCGGTCATTCCTCTGTTCGGCCGATTTGCATATTAGCCTTTTGTTATATAGGTGCTCTGTAAGGGTCACCAACAGGCACTTCACGTGGAATGATAAGTGACCAATCAAAGCATGAGAAAGGGTTCACCTCACTAGAAACTAAATAAATACAAATTAGGACACTGAGATCCATTAGCAAAGAGTCAAAAAATGGGTAACACAGGGTTCTCAAGGATATGGCAGTGCGGGTGAAAGTAAAAATTGGTGAAAAGTTATCATATAAATATAAACACGTATCTGTAAAAGTTTATCAATGTATTACTCGTAATAGTGGGAAAAAAAGATAAGCTAAACATGCTCAGCAGGGGATTCATAACATCACTGCATATCCATGAACCTGACCGCATGTGGTCATTACACATTAGTATATGGGCCTTTTTGTCACCCTCTAGGATGTCCATTATGGGGTTGTTTTCAAGAGGAAAAAGTGCTCTCACTCCTGCCTAGAAAGTCATGAGGGAAGAGAAAAAAGACAGGGGCTTATCTCTAGGAAGCATGGTTTTAGATTACTTTCATCTTTACATTTATCTGAATTATCTGAATTTTTTTATCTTTACCATGAGTTCTTTAAAAAATAGAAATAAAATCAACACTAAGAGCCATGTCATTACCACCCTGCCCCCAGGAGGGCAAATCAATCCCCATTGTGCAGACATGCGACATCCCTCCCTGCTGGGTGCAGACACAGAATTCCCCGTGACCCTGGGACAGGCAGATGTGACCCCATTTTACGAGGAAAGGCCTGAGTGCCCAAGGTCATGCCATCTGTAAGAGGCAGTTACTAACCGCAAGGCAGAATTCTGCCTGTGAGAACACCACACCATACATCTACAATCCTACATAATAATAGAAGGGTAACATGCAAATCGACTGAATGGTGGAACGACCGGTTGCTATGATGTGCACTGACCCCCAGGGGACAGATGTTCAACACAGGAGCTGCCCCCTGGTCAGTGCGCTCCCACAGGGCGAGTATCACTCAGCCAGAAACCAGGCTGAGGGAGGGTGCAGGCCCGGCTGAGGGACCCCTCCCCCGCCCCATCCCCCCTACTTCCCAGAGTGCATGAATGTCATGCACCGGGCCTCTAGTTTATCTATAAATCTCAACGATGGAAAAGTATATTATGTAATCCTCCCCAGAGCTCCTCTGCAGCTACATCAGCCAAGGCCCTCCACGTCAGTTTCTGGGGGCAGCTGCTTGAAGGCACATTCCCTGCTCTAAAGCCCTGTCCTCTGCTTCCTAAGAGCTACTGAGCTCACTCTGCAATGCCAGCCCCAGCCCGGCCGGGTCCCGGGCCGCCCAGAGTCCCTGGGGCCGTGGAGGCAGGTCATCCTCTCCCCTCACACACTATCTCAGCGTCCTTCCTCACTTTACTGGCTGTGTCTTTGCCAGCTGACACATCTCATCTTCACGGCCTCAGCCAGGAGCACAGAAATTAAGATTCAGAATTGGGGGAAAGCTTTAAATTACCTAATTCCCTTTAGCCCCAAGCACTCCGTATTTAATATATTTTTCGAAATGAAAGGTGTTTTTGTCCCTTCTTTGATCTTTTCCTAAAATTCCATTATGTATCATGCGCTTTGCCAAGACGAGGCCTCTAATTCTAGAAACCCTCAGTCAGGGGAACCAAAAACCAACCAGGGATTGGAGAGAGGTGAAAGGTCCTGGGTCAGAAGGCCAGTCCAGATCCTTTGGGTGACTTCATTATGTCCTCTACAGCACTGGGAGTTGCCAAAACAGTGAACTTAAAGTACAACAAACATCTTCCAGGCCAAGTGAAAATGACCTTTAGATTCTCAGCCCAATTTGGCTATTTATGCTACCTCTCCCCTTCTTTGGCCTGGACGTATGCTCTCGGGGGGTGTTTACAGATGAGTCAGCGTTGAAGCTGGTGAGTTGGTGGGAAGGACAGTGGAGGACCCTGGCCCCAGATGAAGTTCTTATTTTGGTTTCGTCGTTAAATCTCAGCGGGGATCCTGGGAAATCACTTCACCCCCCCGACTATTGCCTCATCCGGGAGGTGCAAACACAAGTGAGCTTAATTCTCTATCGCAAGGCTATAAGTACTGTTTGCGGAAGCATGGAAAATGCAAAGCATGCCAAGTCAATACTCAAGTACAAAGTCAACATCCATGGGTTAACCTGTGAGGAAACTCTTTTCACATTAAATCTATGTTATATTTCTCAAGAGTTAAAATAAGCTCAAAGGAGAGGCTGGTACCAGTAACCACAGAAAACAAACTCAAATCTCACACTGAGTTACGGAAAAACACCCCAAGACGGCAAAACACCCAGACATGCACCATTTCTTTCATGTACAGTATGATTTAGCACCAATGAATACACAGAGAACACAAAAAGTCCACTGCACATTGATTACATTTCTTGGGATCTAACATTTAAAAACAAATGCCAGACACACAGTTTACCCTCAAAGAAAACATATTCATCAGGACAAGCCACTTTGGGAAGATACGTATAAGAAGTAATAGGAAGGAGTGAAGGGACATGGCCACTACATATAGCAGAAACATACTGAAGGCAAACAAGGCCCAAAGAAAAAGAAAAAGAAAGGAAAAAAAAGAAGTCAAAAGCAGATTATAAAACTAGCGCTCTGCTCCAAGGTCAACAACTTGAACCAATAAAATGAAAAAACCCTGCCCAATCTGGGGGTGTGTGACTCCGGAAAGAGCTGTGCGTTAACGGAACTCCCAAGAGCGAAGAGAGATCCTCCTCCAGGGGCTGTTGTGATCTGAGCACCGAACACGCCCAGCCGAGGCCAGCGAGGGGTAGTGTTGTTCTAGAAGCACAGGCACCCCTGGAGCGTGTGGCCCTGCCACCGCATGCCCTGCATTCACTCCCTCGCCCCACTGAGGGCGGATGTGAGTCTCTCCCAGCTCCTTCCTAGCAACTTGGGTTTTATTCTCCTTCTTTGGGAATCATGGGGGACCTGGATGTCTGTACCTGTTACATCTCATGGAGCTGAAAGCAATAAAGGACGCCTGCTCCGGCCAGGTGTGGATGTATCTCCACGAAGCAATCGCCTTAACACAGGGTTTCCGTGACTGGGGAGGAGGCGGATGCGGGGATTTTCCTGAGGCTCTGCCTGGACCACAGCCAAGACGACCGGCCACTTCTTAGGAAATGAGAACAAAATCCAGCGGACCAGTTAGTCAGACTCTCAGGTTAAGACGATGCTTGCCACAGGCACACACGTGCCCCAGAAACACCTAGAAAAAAACCTGCGAGCACGCGGTGGCAGCTGCTGGAAACCTGGCGCTGGAATAGAATGGAACAGTATCTCTGAGGTCTCAGACAGTTTCAGATGTCAGCATACGGTGTGCAGGGCCCACTCCTGAAGATGCTGTTAAAACAAAACCAAAATAACTACCTTGAGAGAACAGGAATGTGTTCTAAGAGGCCATTTTATCTGAGTGAAGGGATGATTTAACTCATGAGACTAAAGAACATAAGAAAACAACAACCACAACAGTTTCCTTGAATATATTCAACTATCGAGGCAAGGCATTTTTCAGTATAAAACATAATAATTCTCCCCACTACTACAAAGAAATCCAATAAATAACTGTACAGTGAAGGGCCCCGAGGAGCACTGAGTGACCTGGGTCCCCGAGCAGCTGCAATGGCGGAGGTGCCCATAGCACTAGCCCCTCCGCAAGGTCGCCTGCAGTTTGGTCTTTCTCAAACGTGACCCGCTGGTGTTTCCAAGCTGCTTTATAGACGCGTCCCATCTGGTAGAGCCCGGCGGGGAGCAGCCCAGAGGACAGCCCAAGAAGGGGTCAAAGCCGCGGTTCCCGCATGGATGGCGGCTCTCTTCCTCCTGGGGCTAGTGACCGCGGGGCCTGGCTTCAGGCTGTGCTTCAGCCGCACGCGCTTGGAAAGTCTTCTGCGCCCATGGCTGCGCCCGTCACGCCGGGAAGAGCTCAGGAGGGCTCTCGCCATAGCAGTACTTGGCTACGGGGTCCCTGTAGGTGTTCTCGTGCTGCACGCTCTGTTGGCAAAAGGGAAGACAAGAGCTCCGTGAGAAAGCAGTCGCACACACTCCCTTCAGAGCTGCCGGGGTCCAAGCGGGGCTGCTGTCAGGCACTCCCTGCAGGAGCCTGGCCACATTCATCTCCAAACGTCACTCTCAGGCTCCGGGTACGTTCTGGAACAAAGGCGAGTGCTCAACGCAGAATGCAGTGAAGAGCATGAACATGGACATAATAGCACCGCATGGCTGTTCCTTTTATGTACACGGTGAGTTTTTACAACCTCACTGCAACTCGGGACCACTAGTTTTTCTCAAGTTATTTTAGATTAAAGTCCAAAGGGTGTTTTACATCTGATCCTGTGCTTCCGAGAAATTCAGTAGCTGGTACTGAACCCTGAAAATATGGAGGAGATATATTTCAAATCACTTTCAGAAAGTCTTAGGTATCTCTTGGTTTGGCACTCGGGCCAAACCCCACAATACCAGACAAGCCTTATTTGGAGGAGAAATGGAAAGTATGATTTAAAACAGACAAACATCCCAATGGCTAATTTTTCAGCAATTTGTTTTCATACAGGCAACTCGAGTTTTGGCTAGAGTTCATTAATTAGCCCAAGACCAATACTAAACATCCACACTGTCAGTATTAATCCAACTTACAGATGTGTAGCCAAAAGCTTCTCTTTCTTGGGATGCTGCTATATAAACAAACTGACAACTGGGAAATGTCTCTTTACAATAGAAAGACTAAGTCAGAAAGCTTAGCATCTTCACTCACAACTGGAAATAACTTCTTGGTTTTATCAGTCAAAGAAAGAAAATATTTCGACTTTTCTGGCAACCCTCGGAATGAAAGAGAATCTGAATCAAAGTGAGTCACATGTTCGGCCTTCCTCCACGTTTCCTTTAAGGCCCATTCAAGTGGAAAGCTCTTCCTACAAAACAAGCCCACCAGGAATTTCTCGTGTTTTCAAGTGCTCATTATCATCCCTGAAACGTGTACCCAGTGACGCTGAGTGCTCTAAGAGCAGACCAGAGACATAAAACGTGGCGTAAAATCAAAAGGTGGACTACAGACAGACATCTGGCAGAGTGCAGAGTTCCAGAAAATGACAAATGAGTCAGTGATCTCAGACGAAGCCAGTGCAATCTTGGAGACACCATGAATAGAGGCCAGAAGATTTTAAAAAGGCAGCCCCCGCAACAGCCCAACCACAGAAGCCGAGAGCCAAGGACACAGCGATGGACTTCCAGACGCTTTCGGCAGCAGGTGCGGCGTTCAGTGCCCAAAGAGCCAAGCGTGTAATGACAGCATACTGATGAGTATTGAGAGCTTGACGACCTACATATTACGCATGTATTTTTAAACACCACCTGCCCCTTCCCCTTGAATCCTGAAATAAACCGTAACTCTGTCCCAGAACAAATTACTATTTATTCTCAATGAGTGGTTGCTGAAAAGCCTCGGTTCTGACAAAAGAACTTCTCTCAGAAACTGGACTATTAGGATTCCACCCAGATTAGGCTCCCACTTAAAAGTATAGACATGCCAATCAGATGGGGAGATGCAAGTTGATTAGACCTTGATTTAATCTAAACATTTTACTTCTCTAACTTGTATAAATCTCATGCTGACATTCTAAACACTCATTCCACCAAAGCTTCATTTGAATCTCTTCTCCATTATCACTCATATCATACGACATATGATAATCAAACCTCCATTATCATATTTTCCCACCCACCCATCCCCCCGGCTAGAAACAGCAGAGCTTCTGACCTGGGATGAGGTCCTGCATTTAGCCAAGCACAATTCAAAGTGGTCCTCCACTGCCATGAAGAGGTTCTGGAATGCCACAGCTGCCCGGTTGAGAAAGCGCTCCAGGAGAAGTTGCTATGGAAACAAAAGTTAGTGCCTATAATAAATTCCAGACTCAGCAGCACAAGGTAACCTTGGATATTTCTCCTAAACTAGGAGACTGCTGATGGGGGGTAGGGGTGGGGGGAAGAGTGAGGGAGGCAGCCAGCTCAAAGGGGAAAAAGCACTGGTATCTTATTCATTAGATAACTGATTAGCAAAACAATGGCCCGTTCTGCAAAAGAACCATTCAAGTAACTGGGAGCCACCTCCTTCCCTAAGACAAAGGCTACTTCACAGCAGCCATTTCTGACACCTACAAAGATCCCTTCTGAGTTCTATTTTCACAAGAATCCGATGCTCATCATAAAATAAAGGCAGAAAGACAGGAGCAGAGGCAGAACGAGGAGCAGCTCTCTGTACCTTATTGGGCTGCAGGCAGCAGGAAACGCAGTGCTCGTAGGCGCTGCAGCAGCCGTTGGACAAGCAGCCATCACAGCAATACTGCCTGGTGCCCGCGACGTTGACATTACAGCAGCCATTGACCAGCAAGTCCTTCCTTTCACAAACGTATCCTGCAAGTCAGAGACTGCCCTGAGTATTAAACCAGCAGGGATCCCAACTCACTAGTGATCTGGACTCAGCAACGTATGCACTGTGTGCCCAGAACAGAGACGGAGTCCTAAGCACCAAAGGGGTAGATTGGTGCTATGTGATGAGGGCTTGCTTCGTACGTGCCATCCTTCAATAATTTTATTTTTAATATTGATTTTTTATAGAGAGGAAGAGAGAGGGATAGAGAGTTAGAAACATCCATGAGAGAGAATCACCGATCAGCTGTCTCTTGCACCCCCACACTGGGGACATGCCCTCAACCAAGGTACATGCCCTTGACCGGAATCGAACCCGGGACCCTTCAGTCCGCAGGCCGACACTCTATCCACTGAGCCAAACCGGTTTTAGCCATGCCGTCCTTTAAAACACATGAATTCCCACGTTAGAAGTAGGCTCCAGCCTTACCTACCTAACACAACCTGTTAGTCTGCTGCTGCGTGTTTGACTTAATCTCCATGGTAAGCCACACCTGTGCTTTCCTACTCTCACCTAGGAAAGAAAGCTATTTTTTCCCTGTACACCTGCAGAAAAATGCCTTGTTTTTCAATACAAAAATCTGAAAATGGAAAAAGCCAAGGCATTAATCCCCAAAGTGAAATCCTTCCACTAGATAAAAAACAAAAACCCGTCCCCTCCTTTTTGCAAGTATCTGGGAGATTTTTTTTTTAATTGAAGTAGTCACACCTCACCTTTACAAATTGATTTAGGCTGTATTCGAGTATACATGCCAAGTATTCGACTTCCCCTCAGCATTAGGAAAAGGAAATTCTCTAGAAAGAAAAATACCCAGAAAGAAAAATCCTCGTAATTCCCTCCACTCCTCATGAATCCCATCATCTCGCCCAGCCTGCGTGGCTCAGTGGTTGAGTGTTAACCTATGAACCAGGAAGTCATGGTTCAATTCCTGATCAGGGCACATGCATGGGTTGTGGGCTCGATCCCCAGTGTGGGGGTGTGCAGGAGACAGCTGATCAATGACTCTCTCTCATCACTGATGCTTCTCTCTCTCTCCCTTCCTCCTTCTCCCTTTCTCTCTGAAATCAATTAAAATACATTTTAAAAAATAAATTTAAAAAATGATAAATAAATCCCATCATCTCTGTTCACACACTCCCTCCAACCCAGCCAATTCACGCTCAACTTTAAGGAATAAATCGCCTTGTAAAAGTTTATTTATTGTCAGAGCTGCTAAATATTTCTCTACATCTTTCTGGGAGTGGGAAAGAAACAGGTGAGAACAAGTGCCTGAGGGACACCACTGGGCCCTTGGGAAGCTCCCGTGTGTACACACAGCTCACAGGTGCACGCACAAGCCCACAGGTATCTATGCCCAGGCCCACAAGTGCAGAGCAGCTGCCCATCCAAATACCCCAGCTTCTTAATCCTCAGAGAATGAGACTTGGTGAAGTATACTGCTGTTTTCAGAAATACTCTGGAAAACAAAGTCAGTACAAAAGTAGGAGGCACCAGGAACACAATGGAAGAAACTAAAAGAGCCCTCCTTCCCACTTGGAAAACGGGCTTACCTGGGAACTGGTGCCTTTTGTTACTTTAACTGTGCCATTCTGTCTTCTAAATTAAGGGAGGATGATCCCAGCCCTGGCCAGTGTGGCTCAGTGGATATATCATCGGCCTGCGGACCAAAGGGTCCCGGGTTTAATTCCAGTCAAGGGCATGTACCTCCGTTGCAGGTTCCTCCCTGGCCTGGGCCCTGGTTGGGGCACATGCAGGAGGCAACCAATTGATGTGTTTCTCTCACATCAATGTTCTTCTCTGTCTTTCTCTCTCTTCCACTCTCCCCCCCCCCCCCCCCCCCCGCAAAAACAAAAATCAATGGAAAAATATCCTCAGGTGAAGATTAACAAAAAAAGAGATGGAAAGAGAGAGAGGGAGAGGGAGAGGGAGAGGGAGAGGGAGAGGGAGAGGGAGAGGGAGAGGGAGAGGGAGAGGGAGAGAGAGAGAGAGAGAGAGAGAGAGAGAGAGAGAGAGAGGGGATAGTTCCAATGCCATCACAAATGTTTCTGGGATTACAAGGATTATAAACATACAAAAAAACAAAACAACAACCACAACAAAAAACAAGTAACCCAAAATGTTTCTTGAAATTCTGCCCCAAATAATACACAGCAATCTTACCAGTTCTGGGTCAGGAAGTTTTAACATATAATGTGACCTACACTCCACTTGTTGAACTTATCTTTTTGCCCTTTTCTCTTTTTCACATTCTCAGTGTCAACATCAGGCCTTCTTCCTCTCCCCAGTGCTAACTGCCAGCAGCCTTGAAACCACAGGTCTTTCTAATTTCTGGTGAAAGAAAGCTCACCAAGATTTCACCTTTTGCATCATAAATCTAAGCATGCAAACGTCATTTCCAACCAGGAATTCTGTAAGGTCACAACCGCAGAGTGTGTTGCTATTGACTGAGAAATTAACTTCTAACCTCTGGAAGTCTGAAATTCTAATTGGTTGTCTTATTTAATAAGGTGTTATCCTGGCAATATTTATTGTGACATCTGCTTCCCAAAAGGCATAAATTCCTGCAAGTTTTCTTCATTAAACTGTTTCTGCCTTCTCCCTACACTCATAGAGTCTCACTCAAAATAATCAGAGGAAAATTTTTCTTTGGCTAGCTACAAAATGACAAATTGTCATTCATAACCTAATATTAAATATTTTAGTACATGTGCTACCGAAGCAAGCACATAACCTAATATTAAATATTAAAGCCAAGGCATAGATGTCATGTTTTCTCACTATGAGTGTGACACACACACACACACACACACACACACACAACTTCCTCCCAGTGAGCTGGCCTGCATCTGCAATGTGGATACTTATCGTGTCTACGGTGTAGATACTGTATCAAGTCAGAGGGCACCTGGACAGTGAATGGAACTGCTTCTATGTAAATGTTATTTTAAACACTAAAAAGCATTTAATTAAAAACAAAAAACAAAAAAACAGTTTATAAGAGAAAAAACACTGAACTCCAAGTTTAGTCCTAGTCCCATGTCTACGTGCTGGCTAGCTATGTCATCTTGTGTAAGAAACCTTATTCTATTAAAAAATAAAACACAGGTTATTTGCAATATTATTTGCTTTTTCCTTTAGTTCCTTAACATCTCAGTGCCTGTGTCTTCACCTACAAAGTGACAATACCTTTATAGGTATTACGGCAATAGCTAGACCTGATAGGCTGTTGCTAAAATCAAATGGGATATACCAGGAAAGCTTAACAGTGCCCAGCACATAATAGGAGCTCATAAAGGCAGGCTGAGGGTTAGTGGGAGTCTCGCTGTGGGAAGACTGAATATTCAGCTGCTTGCATATCTCCTTGTAAGAACTTCAGCAGCTGTTCAATCCAACCATCTCACCACAGGAATCACCTTTCTATCTAAATTCCTTTTAGACTCTAAAAGGAAACAGAAAACTCTGGGAGAAAGTACCAAAACAGATAGACTACTATTTTAACTGTAAGAGTAACACATTTTGTTTATAATTCACTTGAGATTGCCCAATCGGTCATTAACAAATGCATTTCCTAAGTACCAATTATTATTCAAGTTACCAAAGAAAACTGAGCTCCTGGCCTATCGAAGTGACCAAGATGGGAAGAAAAGACGGGTGAGCAGGAAGTAGCAGACGCATGAATGTGTGATAAAATGCTAAAACTCTAAGTTACAGGCACAAGGAGTTTCAGAGTTAGAATTATCAAACCAAGCTTCTCTGATGCTGAGGGGAACCTTGAACAAAGACAAAGACGACGTGAGAGATGTTGGAAATGAGCGCGGGGAAAGGCAGCATATAAAACCTATCTAAAAACCCCAGGACCGGTGGCACCAGAGCACTTCACTGACTGCGGGGGGAGGAGGAGGAGGCAGCCGCCTTGCCTAGGTCGTCGGTGATGAGGTGCTTCCCTTGGATGGAGTTCCGGCACTGGTTGCTGGGCCGACTGCTATTGCCCAAGTTAAACTGCACTTTCCACAGAATGGGCTGATCGTGGTCTTGAACCTGGAGGAGATTCCGATCCCTCACTGCCCTCTCCTCCTACAAAGAGACCATAAAAGAAAAGGTTAGAGTATCGTTTCTTATAGTTTCACCAATTTTTCCATAGAAACAGCAATAGGACAGACACAATTTTTAAAAAGTTTGCACAGGAATCTTGCATTCCCCTGGTATGAGCAAAATCTGAGCCAAAGTCACAAAATCAAAAGCAGAAAAATAAATTAAGGCTATGCTATGCTTCAGAACTGGAATTCTTACATGAATGCCCCTTGATTATGTGCACATTATAAATGGGTATAAAAGTGTTAGAACTGAGGTAACGGTATGCATTTCAAGGTATACTACAAGCTATTCACATGGAAGGAACATAAGTGACTATTAACAGCTTTTAGCATTTTTGGGATATTTTTGTTTTTAAAATGATAAAAACATTATTTAAAAACATAATTATCATTAACAATAGGAGACACTAAGGGATCTACAGAAACACTATACTAGCCTTGAAAGTTTCCTATAAATCTGTAATTATTCCAAAATAAAAAGTTTATTAAAAAATATATATAATTGCCCTAGCTGATTTGGCTCAGTGGATAGTGTCAGCCTGTAGACTGAAGGGTCCTGGGTTCGATTGTGGTCAAGGGCATGTTCCTCAATTGCAGGCTTGATCTCCAGCCTTGGTCGGAGGCAATCAATCAATGTATCCCTCTCACATCAATGTTTTCTCTCGCTCTATCTTTCTCATTCCATTCTACTCTCTCTAGAAATCAATGAAAAAATATCCTCAGGTGAGGATTAACAACAAAAATAACCAAACAACATAATTACTAACATTAAAGACAAAAACTGCCCACAATCCCATCACTTACATAAAGTACTATTTTTGCATTTTAACTTCTAGCCTTTTGACCCTGACATTTACACTTACAAATGAGGATGCTTGGCATTCAGCCCTTCTTGACACTAATTAGATGGTAAACCATTCAAGCATCTACATTATCTCGAGAATCACATTTTAAGGCTACATAATAATCCATCATGCTGATGTGCCATAATTTGTAAACATATCCTCTACAGATCAACATTTAGCCCATTCTAGACTTGTTATCAGATAGCAATGTAATAAAATATAGTTTTTATTCTCTTGAATAATTCGTAGCAGTAATTATTGTAAGTAGTCATGTCATACAGTGCCAAATAACTTCCCTGAAGTTATACATACACCATTAGTAATATGCCTGCGTTTACATAAAACAGTGTTCACAATTTACCACCGCTGCACCAGGACTGGACTGTGTTCTTTAAATTACTAGTGTGAAACAAGCCTTCAAGGTGGCTTTCCTTTCTGCTCTGCCCCTCCCTCTTGCTTCTTTTAAAGGAAAGAACTGGCCCCAGCAGGAACAGGATGGGTTATGCAAAAACAACATCTGCAAGAAGAGGAGTTAAGTGCAGAAGCCTTGGGAATTAGGGCAAATCACTTAGGTGCACGCTGCTTAACTACCTGTGAATTCATACTCCCCTGTTCTGCTGGGACCTAGCAGTTAACTGCATAATCAAGCGACGTGCAAACTAAACTGAGCGTCAAATGCTGCCCGAATATATTAACAGCCGTAAGGACTGTTAAGAGGCTGGTCAAAGTACAGTAAACTGGCTCTCACAAGGTTAAAAGTGCTCTTAACATTACTCTCAAACTCTCCTGTTATTCTTCCTAAGGGAAACAAAATACACAAGAGTTCATGGGCAAGTGCATCCCAGAAGGACCTCTTCCACATAACTACATTCCTGTAAACAGGAAGGCAATGCTCCCAGCACTTGAAATTGTTTTCAAACATGAATATTCAAGACCTTGCCAAAAGGATTAGATAAGAGCTGTACAATCAAAAAGATTGCACAGAGATTGTGTAAGGTAGCAATGGTAATGAATTAGTACCTGTTCACGTGTGTGGAAGTCTAGTCATGCAAAGGGTGTGGTGAAGGGGCACTGATGGAATTCCTTTATTGGGTAAGTACTTTTAGACCTTTTTCCAAGTATTCCACCTTCTCTATTAGGTTGTCTCAATTTTATGCATATGCATACACACACACACACACTTTTTTGATTCACTCAAAGGTTTCAAGATCATACAATGCATTAAGGAAATAGAGACAAAGGTAGCCAGGTTCTCTATTCCCAAAGAGCCTCCAGAGCAGTTGATAAAGAGGTTTTAAAAATCAATGCAATCGACCACCACCAAGGTCCACAGGGACTACGCTGGGGCACAAAGAAAAGAGCGGAACAAAAAGGAACAAGCATGAACACAAAGAACTTTCTTCATCACCTGTTAAGGAGCTATAGAAATGTTTTCATTACTCATGTATGTTACTTAACCTCTGATTTTAAAGGGGGTATAGGAAGAACTGTCCTATTTTTCAGGGGTCATCATAGGGTCAAATGAGATAAATGTTCCATTTAAGTAGTGAAGCACTTAAACAGAAGGCATTGCCATTAAAAGATTTGCTTATGATTCTTAAAGGAAAAGAAGGGGGTGGGGGTGGAGGGTAAAGGTCAGAAGGCATCCCAAATGTCTAATATTTGGGGAATGAATGCCTCAATGTGGCCTAATCAAGGAAAATTTTAGTTATAAAAAACTGTCCTTGCCAAAACCGGTTTGGCTCAGTGGTGGAGCGTGGGTCTGCGGACTGAAGGGTCCCAGGTTCGATTCCGGTCAAGGCCATGTACCTGGGTTGTGGGCACATCCCCAGTGGGGGGGTGTGCAGGAGGCAGCTGGTCGATGTTTCTCTCTCATCGACGTTTCTAGCTCTCTATCTCTCTCCCTTCCTCTCTGTAAAAAAATCAATAAAATATATATTTTTTTAAAAACTGTCCTTACAAAGCACTTTTAAAGATGGATACAGTGCATATATGTAAAGTGAAGAAACAGTATGCCCAATTATATTTTAAAAATATGAAAAATGAAGGGAGAAAATATGCCCAGATATCATCAGCGACTGCCTCTGGTTGGCGAGACTGTGAGTAGTTTTCCTCCCCTACCCTGCACAGTACTTCACACGCTTCCTGAAAAATATATGTACACTGGTGATCAGTGGAAAACAAAAAACAGATCAGCAACTCTCTCTTATGATTTATTCCACTTCACTTTAGAAAGTATCTAACTTGGCACCAATTTAGACAGTTAATTACTTTCGAGCTGAAAGCATGAATGTTTTCAAGGAGTTACACAAATAGCTGAGACATTCAGAAACTGTGCCACCTGAACAAGTCTGAGACCATTTCCTTACAAGAAAAGGGCCCTTCTGACTCCAAGATTGGGGTTCTGTCATCCCAGCTCACACGCCCCACACAGCATTCGGCCCCCTTGCCGCTCTCACGACATCTTGTTTTGTTTCCTTCGTATCATACATCACTGTCTGAAATTACTTGGCTTTCTTGCTACTTCTCCCCCTGACCCACCCAGAACAGAGGCTCTTGGAGAGGAAGGAAGGCTTTTCTGCTCTGCCCCTCAGGTATCTCCATCATCCTGCAGACAGTGCCCTAGCAGCACAGCTGGTGTTCACTGGCATCTGTTAAATAAATGGGCCCGAGTCACCCGGCACCACTCACCATTCCCAATCCTCTCCCCCAGTGGCACCCCTGCCACTGTCACTAATTTCTCCTGCGCTCCCATCTCTATAATTTAAACTATCCCCCAAAGCATTAATTAACATGAAAGCCAAAGAAATGAGGAATCCAAAGCAGTAGAGGACAATCAACGATTCTCTAGGCACAGGCACCACCCCTGCTCCAGAGCTCCTGGTCTCACTGAAGCAAAGCTCGGGTCCTAAGGAGCTCGGAAGTTTTCCGTGGCCTCTTCTCAAGGTGTCCTGACCTCTCCCCACCCCCTCATTCCCTGTTCCCATCTCCATGTTCCAGACAAAGACACTGCGGCGAGGCCAAATGAAGCAGACCCCCCTCAAGTCACCTAATTCTGGGTGGCAGACACCAAAACTGCAGCGGAGCGAAGCAGGAGCAGCACACACGAAAACGCGTATGGGAGAACGTGAGTCAAAGTTTTGGTCCCAAGCAACATTCATCCTTTTAAAAATGACTGAGGACCCCCAATATGTGGGCTTATAGGGGTTATGGCAGTTGATATCTATCTTACTGGAAATTAATACAAATTCCTAAAATACGTGTTTTCAACACATTATTTTTTACTCATTTAACAATAACAATGAACCCATTACTATTACATGTCCACCATTTTGGTTGTGTAAAGAAATTTAGTGAGAAGAGAAAATGTTTTTACATTCCTGCAGGCCTTTTCAGGGTCTGGCTTAACGGAAGACAGCTGGATTCTCACATGCGCCCTGCATTCGGTCTGTGCAGTGCGTTCAGGTTGAAGCACCTGAGGAAAACCTACCTCACACAGCTGTGCAGCTGGAAATGGGAGGAGCATTTTAATGGCTTTTCCAGATAATATGACAATCTTCTTTGATGCTACAAGCATAGTAGCTTCTTAAAAGTTCACTGCAAATGGTACAACCACTTTAGAAAACAGTTCTTTAAGAAGTTAAACAAAGTCACCATATGACCTAGCAATCCCATATGACCTAGGACCAAATCCAAGAGAACTGAGAACATATTTCCTAACAAAACCATGTACACTGATGCATATAATAGCATTATTTATAATAGCCAAAAGGTGGACACAACCAAAGTGTCCTTCAACTGATAAATGAGAAAAATCAAAATATGGTAAATGCATACCAGGGAATATTATTCGGACACAAAAATGAAGTAGTAGCACATGCTACAACATGGATGAATCCTGAAAACACAGGCTTCTAACCAAAAGGAACCAGGCTCAGAAGACCATAGATTGTAAGAGTCCATTTATGTGAAATGTCCAAAACAGGCAAATTCATAGAGACAGAAAGTTGACTGAGTGGTTGCCAGGGGCTAACAGGCAGGCATAGAAGGTTACAGCTCAAGTATTTGTTTTAGTCCTGGCTGGTTTGGCTCCGTGGATATAGCGTCAGCCTACAGATTGAAAGATCCCAGGTTCGATTCCAGTCAAGGGCACATCCAGGGTTGCAGATCCCCAGGAGGGGGCGTGCAGGAGCAGCCGACTGACACTTCTCTCTTATCATTGATGTTTCTCTCCCTCTTCCTTCCTCTCTGAAATCTATATATAACACACACACACACACACACACACACACACACAGTTTGTTTTACTTAGTTTTTGTTAAGCTGCAGGGGAAATCTGCAAAACAAAAATTTTGCCAATAGTTTTAAAGAAACCACAATCATCACCCCATCAAAAAAAAAATTTTAAAACTCAACTTGTCATAATTTACAGGTTTTAAAAAGACACACTGTAATTTTTTAAAAAAATGAACAAGGCTCCAGCCCAGAATGACTCTGTTGAGAGTCTTCCCATGAACTGAAAGGTTCTGGGTTCAATTCCTGGTCAGGGCACATGCAAGGGTTGTGGGCTTGATCCCCGGAGCGGGCATGTAGGAGATAGCTGATTGATGTGTTCTCACATTGATATCTCTCTTTATCTCCTACTCTCTCTTTAAAATCAATAAAGACATATTTTTACAAAAATGAACAAGGTGCACAGGAGTACTTAAAAGGAGGTTGTAAAGAAAGTCAGAATGGACAGCATCTGACTAGTAGGAATGTGCCAGATTGAAAAGAAAGTTAAAGTCGTCCCAATTAAAAAGACTCAGCCCGGCCGGATGTCAACCTATGAACCAGGATGTCATGGTACGATTCCCAGTCAGGGCATAAGCAGGGGTTGCAAGCTCCATCCCCAGCATGGGGCGTGCAGGATGCAGTTGATCAATTATTCTCTCTCATCACTGATGTTTCTACCTCTCTTTCCCTCTCCCTTCCTCTCTGAAATCAATGAAAATATTTTTTTTAAAAAAGACTCATTTGTTCCAATATCTGAGTCCCCATGAAGTGCCTGACAGAAGTCTATGGGCTGGATTCTATGAAGAACACAATTCTCTGTTCTCAAGAAAATTACACTCTAAAAGGGACAGATCAGCGAGTAAATGAACAAGAAATGTTCAGTTCCTATCACAAAGGAAATAAAGCAGGACTATGGGCAACAGGGAAGAAATTCAGATTGTGTCACCCTGTGTCACCTGAGGCAGTAATAGTCTGACCTAAAGTGACATAAAAGAGTCACCATTATTCTGGAACGTCTGGGGTTTGTGGAGTGCAGTAAGAACCCAAAGAACTTACCACCCCTATTGCTGGGTAGAGAACTGAGTGCAGGATGAGAAAGGAGGCATAGACCTGTTGGTGGCTACAGCATGGTCCGGACAGAAATGAAGGTAGCGTGACTTAAGGTGGCAGCAGTGACAATTAGGAGAAACGAATACATTCAGGAGACACGGTGGTGGCAGAAGGTAATAGAATTTGGGGTTTTCTGGATAGATCCAGACTGGAGTCAACAGCTGGGATCTCAAGAGCATACAACCTGTACTTGAACAATGATGGCACAGATCACCTGGGCCAGGTGGCGAGGAAGGCCGAGGTCGGAGTTCTGGCTCACTCACAACACTCAGAGGCCCACCGGCCGGAGAAGGGGCAGCACCGGGACCGTGAGAAGCTGCCTGGAGGTGGCAGGAAACATCTAAGTGCACGCGAATGTCACCCACACGCTTACAAGAAACACCCAGCCTGTTTGCCTACACTTCCCTGTCTCCCCCTTTCCAGGCTCCCCTGCCCACAACGTTTATTTACTTTCTGCTCATTGCTATGTGTTTTGTGTGTTTTTTATATTTTATTGATTTTTTTTTCTTTTTTTTATTTTTTACAAAGAGGAAGGGAGAGAGATAGAGAGCTAGAAACATCGATGAGAGAGTGTCATCAATCAGCTGCCTCTTGCACACCCCCTAATGGGGATGTGCCCGCAACCAGGGTACATGCCCTTGACCGAATCTGGGACCCTTGAGTCCGCAGGCCAACACTCTATCCACGGAGCCAAACCGGTTTTGGCTCGTTGCTATGTTTGATGTATGAACTTGACCCTGGAGAGTGAAAGGGGGGTTCCTTTTTGACAACCAGAACACCTTGGGGTAAGTTCATCCTTTCTGAAAACCCTAACGCTTAAGTCGGACTTTTAAACAAATCACTGCTTTGGGTAACATTTCCTACCAAAGCTCCCTGTCTTTTCTCCCATACATTCGCACGTGGACTTAAATCTAAGGCGGGAGGAGGGAAGGGGGAAGAACATTGCGCTCGAGCTGTGCACCGAGAGGACACCTCCTGGGCAGACACGCCGCGCTGGCCCCGGAGCTCGGCTGTTACCGGCCCCGACAACCACTCTCGGAGGCTCGGCTACGGGGCCGCCCTCCACTCCCCAGGACAGCCCCGAAGATGCAGCGAGAAATGCACGCCGGCGGGGCAGGCAGGAAGTAGGAGGAGGGGACAATCAGGGCCACAGCCCCGGGTTCGAGTCCCAGGAGCCGGCCTAGCAGCGCCTGCTCACCCAGGTCCCCAGGAGGGAGCAGGTCCCCCCGCCCGTCCTCGGTCCCGGGCAGGCATGCCCGCCTCCCCGGCCGGATCCGGGAGCAGCGCGGCTGCAAGGCAAGCAGCTCCCCGACCTGGGGAGGAAGCCGGCGGCCGGGAGAGCGGCCCGCGGCGCCCGGAGCGAGCGCAGGACGGCGAACGGCCACTCACCTGCTTGAAGGTGCTGGTGAGGAAGTAGACGAGTGAGAGCCCGAAGACCAGGGCGAGCACCCACCGCTTCCGCAGGAGCCGGCGCCACACCATGGCCGCCAGGTTCACCATGCCGGCGCGGACGCGGGGCGCGGCGGCCGGGGCGCGGAACGGGGCAGGCCCGGGGCCCGGGCGGCATGGCCCCTACGCGGCGGGCGGCCCCATTCCTCACGCCGGACGCCGGCCCCGCGGCCCTCAGCCCAGCCAGCTCCCGGCAGCCTCCCCGCGCCGCCTCACGTGACCGCGGCCTCGGGCCCGCCTTCACGAGCCTTGCGAGCTCACCCGGCCTCATTGCCATTGGTCCCTGCAGATATGCGGGTTCCTATTGGCTGAACCCCGGAAAGGGGGCGGGCATTCCCGTGCGTGCGGCGTGAGCGCTGTTGCCGGGCTGGTGTGATCCGCCGGTCTACCCGTGAGAGAATCCTGTCAGAGGCCGGAAGCCCTCGCAGGTCACGTGCTCCCAGGGCTGCAAGAATGATTGGCTTGGAAGGACATGAATGATGCCGCTGTGATTGCTGAATCGTCTGGGCAGGTAAAAAGATAAAGCGTTGGTTTTGTTTGGTTTTTTTGCTATTTGTTGTTGTTGTTGTTTTCCCCTGCGGTCCGTGTAGACACCTGCCTTTGCAGTCCCTGAGGCGTTTTGCGTTGAACGTTGGCTGCAGGAATGAAAAAACGCTCCCGGCATTGTACCCAGTACACCTGCCAGCTTCCAGTGCAACTAATGCAGGGGATGCTCTCTTGCATGCATTTCGCTGCAGTCGGGTAAAGGGCTGGAGGCCCGACTTTAAAAAATGACATGTATTGTAATTCTGTATAGGGCAGTAGTACGATTCTGCTGCATCCCACCGTGCAAAAAATTTATTCCAGAATTCAATGCTGGAATAATTAAGGTCTGCTTCCAACAGAGTACTTGGAGCTCCTGGAAAGGCAAGCATATGAAAGTAGAATCTTGGGCATTTCATTTAAGAGGCTGGGTCAGATTTATGGATAGAAGCTTTAGGATACTATATTTTATTTCCCCCAAGGATTCGCCGGTGATGGGGTATGTTCAGATGAGGACATTAAGCTGGCATTGCAAGTTCTGAAAGTTGAGTTGTTGTTTTTTTGTTAATCCTCACCCAAGGATATTTTTGCATTGGTTTTTAGAGATAATGGAAGGGAGAGGGAGATTCAGAGAGAAACATCGAGGTGAGAGAGACACATTGATTGGTTGCCTCCTGTGTGCACCCCAACCTGCAATCAGAGCCAGGGAACCTGCAATCAAGGTATGTGCCTTTGACCAGAATCAAACCCAGGACCCACTGAGCCAAACTGGATAAGGGTGAAAGTTAAGAAATATTTACATAACGAGTTTTCCTTCATATATGAAAATGGAACTATTGACCCATTTCTTAACTGAGTTTCCAAAAGCTAGTGGGTGTTCTCTTTCATCATTGGTCCTAGTAACGCAAACGCTGACCTCTGAAAAAGCTGACCAGGACAAGAAGCCATTCAACAGCCAATCATGGTGGCCTGAACTAAAAGAATCGGATAGCATATTTGGTTATACAAAAAAAAACATTGAAGGAGGCTAAACCTTCAATGGGAAGTCTAGCGCTTTTATTTCTCATCTAGGGTGAATAGTCTGGGAGGGAGCAAGGGAAGCAGGAAAAGCTACCAAGAAACCCATGGATGTTTTACTCTTTGAATAAGTCCTGCTGAGTGCTGCTCTGTGCCAGGAAGTATCCTAGATGCTGAGGTAGAGGGGCTCCCTGCTTTTGTGGCACTTACTTTCTACTAAGGGACACATCATCAATAAGTAAGCAAACATGTAAATAAACAAGTGCTATGAAGAAGGTTAGACTGGACAATGTTTGGTGGGTCAGGAGGTCTGGAGGAGAAGGCCTCTGGGAGGAGGTGACATTTAACCTGAAGAAATTAGCCACAAGAAAAATCGTTCCAGGGACAAGGAACAGCAAATGCAAAGGGCCTGAGGCAGGGACCGCTGGCCTGCTTGAGGAACAGAAAAGCTATTGAGGCTGGAGGGGAGTGGTTAAACAGAGAGTGGAGGGAAATGTGGCTGGAAACAGTAAGCTCCATCAGATAGAGCCTGTGGGGCTGTGCACGGAAGTTGGATTTTATCCTGATTACAATGGAAAGCCATTGGGGGTTCTAAAACCTATGTTCTGTGTTCCCCGATTAGGACTCAGTTTCACAACAGGACAAAATGCATTGAGATCATGAGCATTCTCAGGAGCCCTAAAGAGGGATCAGTGAGGAGCGAGTCAGAGATTTGGAGCAGATGGAATCATGTGCTATAGCCCATGATGCTCCAAGGTTACTCAGAGGTTCGGGCACCCATGGACTATTCATGTAAGGGTTGTGTTCCACCAGGGTTTGGAGTCTCTCGTAAACCCCCCTGACCTGTGCACCTGTCTAGAGAGGACGAGGCAGGGGAGGCCTGCCTTCGCTGCAATCCGGTGATCACATCCCCACCTGGATCCCTGAATGCCCGCTTCAGCTGTCATGAACATGGAATTCTGAAGTCCATGTGGCTCCTCACGGTAAACAAGGTGACGTGTCTCCATGAGAATTCACATATTCATTACCACTTTACTCATTGCGAGCGCTGAGGAGAAGTTTGGGGTTCAGCCACTCCGCCCCCTCCCATTTAACAGAGGAGGAATCTGGGCCCACAGAGAGGTGACTGACGTGTCCAGAGTCAGACGTCAAATTAGGGGCATCACCAATCTAGAACCCACATCTTCTATTGCCAGTCTGCTGCTCCCTTCACCTCACCCATCACCTCTTTGCTGCACAGTTCAGTGCTTTCCTCTCTCCCATGAGGACTTCCTCCACGTCCGGGTCTCAACAACCTCATCTGTGAAATGGGGTGATAACACTTTACTCAATAGGACTGAGTGTTGACTGGCACAGCAGATGGAAACAAGGTCAGAGCGCTGTAGGGAGATGGGATAGGAGTGGTGCTTATTCATGATTACCATGGCGATCTGACAGGCAGTGGGGATGTCGGGAGACTCTGGCTTATGCCGTGTGTTGGCTTTCAGGTGTTAAGGAAGATGCAGAGACGCCACAGCAGTAACACGGATAACATCCCACCTGAAAGGTAGGCATCTTCTGGTTCCATCCCATTGGGGGGCTCTGGGCTTTGAGGGTTCAGGGGCAGCTCCAAACTGTACTGAGTAATAACACCTGCAGCTCAGGGTTACGTGTTTGAGGAGCAGAGGAATTATAAATTGCTTTGCACTGTGATGGCATATACTACTCCATGCATAACTGCTGGCTGTTGCTCTTATGGTAATTCTCACAGCCTGTGTGACAGGTGATGCACTTGACTCATTGTATCAGTGATGGTGCCCATGAGATTTTAATTTATGGAGGTGACTGAGTGACCACATGGAGAGGCTCATGCCGTTGAAAGAAGATCTTGGTTACTTACATTTTCCGAGAGGAGGGGACATGTTACACCACCCAGGGCCACACGGGGAAGCACCAGGGTCGCTCAGGAGGCAGAAAGGAGCCCAGGGAAAGCTTAGGCCACAGCTTGGGTTGTGTTTTCCACACCAATCAGGCCAGGGCGGAGGGCACAGCTTAGCATGGCCTGCTTTGAGCAATGTCAGCAGGCTCTGGGCTCTAGGGTGGTCCCTGGTTGTCTGTTACCTGATCCTGAATGATTCAGGGCAGGAGAAATATTGGCTGGATACATGAGCATTAGACAAGGAGGTGGCCGGGGATACGGGCTCTGGGTTGCAAGGAAGTTGTGAACAACTCTGGCCATGAGGTTGCCCCTGTAAAGAGTGGATGCCTAATAGACAAACACAGACTCTAAGAAAACACAGTTAAAACACTCTGAGCTAGGATTTCTCTAGTTAAGCCCAAGAGAGAACACATCATGGGACCTGTTCTCAGGTTGTGACATTATCTCAGCCCCAGACTCCTGCCACTCTGCTCCCCCACCCCCAACATGCTAGCACATGCATGCAGTAGGCAGGCAACCAAGCTTTTCCTCCCTCGGATCACATTCCAGTTCCCTTGCAACTCGGAGATTGGCTGCAAAATCAGAGAACCCACCGGTTCTAGCATTGGGACTGAGGTTTGCATCAAGCCTGCCTGTTCTGCAGGGAAGAGCTCCAGCCTTAAAGCAGACGACTCTTGGCTAAATCCCAGCTCAACCACCTCCCTGCTATGATGCCTTTGGAAAGTGTCTCTTCCCCTAAATGGCAGATAGTGACCCTCAGGTTTCTTGTGAAGGAGTGAATGGACAGGAAAATGCACAAACACAGCATCCAGATAATAAGCCTGTTCCAGCCTCTGAAGACAGAATGGCTGTCTGCTCTCTAGTGTAAGGTGACCAGACGTCCCACTTTTGGCGGGACAGTCCCGATTTTTAACAATTTGTCCCGCATCCCTCGGCGTTTTAAAAAAGTCCCGATTTTTATCTTTCCAAAAATTGGGACTTTTTTAAAACGCCAAGGGACGCAGGACAAATTGTTAAAAATTGGGACTGTCCCGCCAAAAGCGGGACGTCTGCTCACCTTACTCTAGTGAACCAAGAGATCTTTGGGGGCAGAAGAACGACCCCCCTGTATTGCACTCACTCTGTGCCATTGGTGAGGTCAGGACTGCTTTTATCACCATTCTTACAGATGAGGAAACTGAGGCTCAGAGAGTCCAAGTAAGTTCCCTGAAGTCACACGGCCAGGAAGCAGCAGGGCTGAGATTGGGATCCCAGTCCACTTGCCAGCTGTCTCCCCCACCCTCACCCTGAGTCTGCCCATCGAGCCAGCACATTTTGGCGTCTCCTCTCTGGGCAGATCCACTCCTCTCCTGGTTTGCTTCCCACACTAGCCCGTAAGTGGTTAAGCTAGAAGCACAGCCTCCTCCCCAAGGAATGTTCTTTCCCGTTTAGGCTGAAATCTCAGCTGGATGCTAGGGCCCAGCTATAAAAAGCTGCTTGGGTGGATTGAGTCTTCACTGGTTGTGCGTGAGGTCCCATGAGCCCAGTGAATTCAGAGTGTTGGTGAGCTTAAGGAGGCCAGGAAGACTTTCTAGGTCCTCATGGGGAGGCAAGGGAGAGAGAGTGGCCCCCATTGGGCCAATGTGGGCACCTGCCAGGACTCGGTCTTTCTTAGCTTCTTAAAGTGCAGAAAAAGCTTGAGGATCCCTTGAGGATCATAGCCATGGTGCCCGCTGTTGTTGTCATTATCAATATTATCTTTATTATCATGCCAAACCCAAGGGGGTGGGACCACACATTTCCTGGGATTTTGGAGGCAGCAGGGATGCACCAAGTTGGGGGGGAGGGAAGTAAGTAGCCATCGTTAAGCTCCCCTCCCTTGCACCAGATTTGTGATAACTTACTCCCTGGTCAAGTTTGTGAAGCCAGAGTAATCAACCCTGAGATTTCTCCAGACCAGCATCACCCCTGCTGAGTTTCACAGATGTTCTCTAAGACGGCAGTCGCCAACCGGTGATCCGCGGGCCAATGGTGGTCCGTGAGGTCCGAAAGGTTGGTGACCGCTGCTCTAAGACATTCATAGGTTTCACTCACACACACACACACACACACACACACACACACAAATTCCATGGTGAGATAAGCTTAGAACACACTAAGTTTAGGCATAATTAATTTTTCCAATCGCAGGCCTTGTCAGAGCCTTTAATAAGCTCGTTCATTCATTCTTTCAAACACTGTTTCTTGAGCATGTTTTCTGTACCAGGTGCATTGTGCCGGGGAGGAGAGATGTACAGTGGGGGCAAACAATCATGACCTTTGACTTCATGGCACAGGGCCCAGTCTGAAGTGCTCCTCTCGGTGCATACTACACATGAGAGTCACCAGGGGGCTCTGAAGACCTGGGAGAGGCCAGGCCCCATCCTCAGAGACTTTGGTTCGGCAGGGCAGCACTGGGTCCCAGGCCACCTGTACCAGGCATTTTTCAAAAGCTCCCCTGGGGGATTATCACGCGCAGCGAGGGTTGAGAGCCACGGTCAGCAGTGAATGATGGTTTGCGATCACTCCCGTGCAGCGGAGGTCAGGATGCAGTGAGAACGAGGAGCAAGATGTCATTTTCTGGGAATCAGTAGGGCAGACTCTACCCAGGAAGGTTAGCGCAGGTGCCGAGGCGGGTCACGGCGAGGGTGACATCCACTGCAGGGCACAGCCTGTGCAAAGGCCCTACAGTAGGAAGCCTTGGGTCGGGAGGGAAGGGCACACAGTTTGATTGGAGTTTGGGGCGAGACAATCCAGGACAGTGGTCCGCAAACTCATGAGTCAACAGAGCCAACTATCAGCAGTACGACGATTGACATTTCTTTGGAGAGCCACATTTTTTAAACGTAAACTTCTTCTAATGCCACCTCTTCAAAATAGACTCGCCCAGACCATGTATTTTGTGGAGGAGCCACACTCAAGGGGCCAAAGAGCCACAAGTGGCTCAAGAGCCTCAGTTTGCAGATCACGGATCCAGGTGTCTGACATGCTCATCTCTCTGAGCCTCGGTTTCTTTATCTGACCATCTGTGCAGCTTTGGACAAGATATTCTCTCTCTCTTTTTCTCTGAGTCTCAGTTTCTTGATCTGTCAAATGGGGGGTATTATTAGGACCTTAACTCTCAGGGTTGGTAAGATTTAATGAGTTAGTCCGTGAAAAGCACTTAGAAAACTGTCTTGTTCATAGTAAATTTTCTATGAAGATTACAGCCTTGTTGCTGTTATTATTTGGATGAGTTCACTAGGCCTGCCGTGGCAAGGTGCCACACAATGGGGGCCTTAAAACAACAGAAATTTACTTTCTCATGGTTCTGGAGGCCCGAAGTCCGAGACCAAGGCGATGACATTGTCAGTGCTGGTTTCTTCCGAGGCCTCTCTCCTTCGCCTGTAGATGTCCTCACATCATTTTCCCTCCTGCGTGCAGCCGCGTGAGGACACCATTCGCATTGGATGAGGGCCTGCCGGCATGACCCCGTTTCCGTTTAGTCACTTCTGCAAAGGTCCTGCCTCCAAAGGACAGTCACCCTCTGCGATCCTGGGGTCAGGGCTTCCCCCTGGGAGTTTGGGAGGGAGACATAATTCAGCGTAGGACATTATTGGTGCTGTTATGGGTCCCCCAGTCCCCCCTGGGTGACTGTCTTTCCACCCGTCTGACCTGGTGGGGCTTTCTCTCCCCTTCTGGCCTAGAAATCGCAGCCAAGCCCTCAGCCCCGAGGCAAGCGTGGATGAAGGGGGCGTCTTCGAGAGCCTGAAGGCAGAAGCCGCCTCCCCGCCCGCCCTCTTCTCCGGCCTCCCGGGTCTCCCGGCAGGCAGTCTTCCCGCCGCCCCGTTCCCCTCCAGCCTGGTGCTGGGGGCCTCTGCCAGCGGCGGGGACGTGTTCCTCCAGATGCCGGCGTCCAGGGAGGAGGGGGGCGGCCGGGGCGAGGGGGGCGCCTACCACCACCGCCAGCCCCACCACCACTTCCACCACGGAGGCCACCGTGGCAGCTCGCTGCTGCAGCACGTGGGCGGGGACCACCGCGGGCACCTCGATGAGGCGGGCGACGAGCACCCGGGCACGCCCGCCCCTGCCCTGTCCGAGCTGAAGGCGGTGGTCTGCTGGCTCCAGAAAGGCCTGCCCTTCATCCTCATCCTCCTGACCAAACTGTGCTTCCAGCATAAGCTCGGTGAGTCCCAGGGGCACGGGGATGTCAGCAGCGGGCAGGGGGCTCTCCATCCCAAATGCTAGGGAAGGGCAGCAGAGGCCCTGGCCAAACCATGCAGTCAGAGTATGGGATTCTGAGTCAGATCTGGGTTCGAGTCCTGGCAGTCTCGCTGTGTGACGTCAGGCAAGTCACTCGCCTTCTCTGAGCCTCCGTTTCCTCCTCTGTCCGGTGGGAGTTATGATAGGAGCTCCCTCGCTGGTTGGTTGGTTGAGTAGTAGTAATAAAGAGCTCAGACTCCATGGGTCCAGACTCAGGCTCTGCCCCTGCCTAGCTGTGTGACGCTGGATTCATTATTAACGTCTCTGTGCCTCATCCATAGAATGGGGGGTACGATACAACATGCTTCATGAGGTTGCAGTGAGGTTAAATGAATTCATATGTTTAAAGCACTTAGGACAGTGCTAGGCAAGGATAGGTTATTATTTTCATTATTTTTCTTATTAACATACAGAAGATACTTCACATAGCATCTGGCACAGAGCATGTGCTCAATAAATACTCCCTATGGTTAGTAGTATTAGGAAGTGAGATAATGATTTAGCCTTGAACCAGACACGAACTTCACATTCAATAAGTGGTCTCTGGTACACTGTCATCATCATCATCATCATCATTATTATTACTTATTGTTACCACATCATGGTGTCGCTGTGCCTGGGAGAGTTTGGGCTCTTGTTTTGGTCCTTGGGCAGGAATGATGGTACAAACGATCTCATGCCCTACCGCGTCCCATAGACAGTATCTAGAGGAGAGCAGGCCATTCTGTGTGTCCTCCTCGCCCCTCCCTGGAGGTCCTAGCTGACTCACATCCCCCCCACCTTCCTTCTTGGGGTGCTCTCATGGCTGCCTCCCTTTTCATTCCTGGAAATGAAAGCCAGCATGTTTCCCTTTTATCCTGAGTTCCCTCATAATCACAACTTCAATTTTATTCTCAAGTATGGCCAATGTCTTTCTCATTTGGCAGGTTTGCTTATTACTCAAAGAGGAAAACAGAAGGGACTGTAGGGTTACTAGTTTTTATTTTATATGTTTCCAGTGAAGAAATACAGCTTGGACAAAGTAGAGCCAGAAAAGGACCTGGATTACACAAACTATTAAAAAAGTGAAAAAAAATAAAAAAGTGAGGGTGAGCTCTAAGCAGGAGAAGCTGTGCACTTGATGTGAAAGAAGAATCCTGTCTGCAGGTTAAGAAAAGTAGGATTTGCAAATCCCTATTCCGGGAGAACTCCAGGATGGCAGCTTGGCAAACAGTGGCAATTGAATGAAGTGGAGTAAATTTCAGTTCTATTCCCCTATCTGCCAGGGTCAGGAGTTCTTTTCCCTTTAACATTAAACTTTTTGAAAAATGTTTTTATTGATTCGAGAGAGAGAGGAAGGGAGAGGGGTAGAGAGATAGAAACATTGATCAGCTCCTCCTGCACGCCCCTTACTGGGGATCCAGCACACATCCCGGGCATGTGCCATGACTGAGAATTGAACCGTTAGCCTTTTGGTTCATGGGTCGACACTCAACTACTGAGCCACACCGGCTGGGCTTAACATTAAACTTTTATTCCTTACTAGAGGCCCGATGCACAAAATTCATGCAAGAGTAGGCCTTCGCAGCCGGCAGCTGCCTGGATCTCATGGCTGTAGCCCCAGCTTCATCCAGAAGGATATCCGGTCTGATTAGCATATTATGCTTTTATTATTATAGACTAGGCACTTGTTGCAGGAATATTCCTGCAAGACTTCTGGCAGGCTTCCCTCCCGCCACCCCCACCTCTCCCACCCCTCCACCTCTCTCCCTCAGCCGCCTCTGCCACCATCTCCATGTCCACGCAAGCTGCCACCACCGCAGCACGCCTCGCCCAACATGCCCGACTCACTGCCCCTGCTACTAACACTGCCTCGGCAGCCGCGCCTGCTACCACCGCCTCTGGGACCTCACGCACCACTGCTGCACGCCCTGTCCTGCCCACCCAACCCACCGCCCCCGCCCCCATTGCTGCCTCCATGGCAGCATGCTGCCACTGCACACCTCACCTCGCCCCACCCCCACATGCACTGCCAGTGCTTTCCCTCCAGCAGCCTCAGCCGCCTTGCTTTCCACTTTCTCTCCTTCTTCCTTCTATGCTGTCTCCAGTCTTCACCCCTCCCTCCCTCCACATATCCAAATTAGCCGCCATCTTTGTCGGTTTAATTTGCATACTCGCTCTGATTGGCTGGTGGGCATGGCTTATGTAGCAGAGTGATGGTTAATTTGCATATCACTATTATTAGGTTAGATTATTAGGTTAGATGGTGTCATGGTCTTTTTCTATGTATGCTTTTATTACAAGTAACACACCTCAGATTCTTTTTGAAAGTAGAAATAATAATAGGTACCATTGCCTCACTGCTAGAGATGGTGCTCTATAAGCATTATCCCTCCAGGGGACAAGTACTGTTATTATTCTACCCATTTTATAGATGAGGAAAGGGGGGCTCAGAGAGGTACAATGATTAGCCATAGCTCATACAGAGAGGAGGTAGTGGAGCCAGGATTTGAACCCAGGTCTTCCAGGCTGCACAGCCCATGCTCCTAACTCTGTTCTACGAAATACCCCAGAGAGGCATCAGTCACATCCCTATGGCAGAGGCCTTGACTGAGAGTGGCTCAAAGGTCTCTAAGGTGGGACTAGACCCACATCCCCCAGAAGTGGGATATTCTCTCTTCTAAGGTTAGTCTGTAAACTCAAAGGGCCAGGGGTGTGTCTTTTTAATGTTGCTCACCGCCCCCAGTAAGCCAGGCCAGGCCTGATGAGTCTAAGCGGCGGTGTTGGGTCCCCCTCTCTCCCGCAGGCATTGCTGTGTGCATCGGGATGGCCACCACCTTCGCCTACGCCAACTCCACCCTCCGAGAACAGGTCTCTCTGAAGGTGAGTCCGCTGGTGAATTAGTCTTCTGTGGCTGCTGTAACACAGGACCACAAACTTCATGGCTGAAAACAACATCCGTTGGTTATTTTACAGTTCTGTCCATCAGAAGTCTGAAGTGAGTCTCTCTTTGCTAAGATCCAGGCGTACCAGGGCCGTGTTCCTGCTGGCGGGTCTGGGGGAGAAGGGTTCCTTGCCTTTTCCAGCTTCCGGAGGTCACCCACATTCTTTGGCTCCGGGCCCCTTCCTCCTCTTGGAGCCGGCGGGCGCCGTTGCATCTCTGTGACCGTCTTTCCATAGTCACACCCCCCTCTGACCCTCCTCTTCCACTTTTAGGGACCTTTGTGATGATATCAGGTACATCTGTATAACCCACAGTTGCTCCGCATCTCAAGATCAACTGATATGCAACCGTAATTCCACCTGCAGTCTTAATTCCCTTTTGCCATGTGACCTCACATAGTCACCGGCTGCAGGGATTAGAATGGGGGCATTTTTGGGGGGTCATTCTTCTGCCTGCCACCCTGGGCAGAGCCCTTGATGTCCATCCTTCTGCCAAGCCCAGACATCTGCACTGCCTTCCCAGCCCAGTCCCTTTACCCTCCTGGCATTCAACCTGTTAGCTCACTTCCAACCCACTCTTATGGTGAAGGCCATTCCACTGGCACTGCCGGGTGCCATACAGCCTCACCACCACCATCCTAACTACCCTCCAAGATTTGCTGAGCACTCGCCATGCCCTGCACAGGTAGGCCCATTGCTCAGCTCATCCTGCAAATCTGTCCCAGGGACCTGGGGGAGGAGGGACACAGCATCATTCGTATCTCATTCGTCCAATAGGAAACAGCGGCTCAGAGATACTAAGTTCCTTGTCTGAGGTCACATAGCCGCCAGTGCCCGTGGTGGCATCAAGACAGGCGCCCAGGCATTGGGCCCACAGGCTGTGCTCACCTTGGTTCAAATTCCAGCTTCACCCCCAAGAAGCTCTTAGATAGGTTACCGTGGTAACCTCAGCCTCAGGTGCCACCCCTGGAAAAGGAACTTCTGACACCCAGAGAGGGGATTAACTGAGATAGCGCCGAGAAAGTGTTTGGTGCGCGGGGCCTGGCATACAGGTAACATTAAACCGAGCTATTTATGTTTTTTAACATATTTTATTGATTTTTTACAGAGAGGAAGAGAGAGGGATAGAGAGTTAGAAACACCGATGAGAGAGAATCGTCAATCAGCTGCCTTTTGCATACCCCCTACTGGGGATGTACCCGCAACCAAGGTACATGCCCTTGACCGGAATCGAACCTGGGACCTTTCAGTCCTCAGGCCAACGATCTATCCACTGAGCCAAACCGGTTTCGGCTAAATCGAGCTATTTTAACAAGCCCAGGCTTTGTCCTGTGCATGTGACCCCATGACAGCCACCATCCTCTCTCTGGTCCTTCTTTGGGGCCATCCGCTTTCTCAAAAAGCTCCTGGGCCTCCAGGAGGCGGGAAGGGCAGTCGGTCTCCATTTGACACAAGCTGCTGCGGTCCGGAGCCGGGCATGGAGCCGGAGGTTCTCTCTGAGCCTGAGTCTCCTCTTCTCCAGGCCGAGCCCTTTCTGCCGCTCTTAGAACAACAGGTTGGCTGACACCAGAACGGCAGGCTTTGGGGGCTGGCTGTCTCTCAAAGGCATTACCCTCCAAAGGGTGCCTCGGCCTGACTCTGAGGGGGTAGAAGAACACCTGTGTCCGTGGACAAGCTTCTCGGGGCCCTGAGACCTAGGAGGTGAAGACACAGGTGACATATTTTCTGTGAAAGAGAACCCCCATCACCCTTCGTAAGCTTAGGAATCTCAACGTAACTGCTAGAGCACTACCTGCTTTGACCTTCAGAGTGTGGCTTCTCGGGGCATTGCTAATCCCCCTCCTTCTCCTTCACCTTCGGTTTAGATTTACAGAGGACTCCACTGGAATCCATTATTTATCGGGGTAAAAGGGCTGCCGAGTGGGTTAATCACACTGATAAGAGCCGTTGGTCGGTTGGAGGTGGTTTCTAGGGTCGTTAACCTTGACCCCGCTCCTGGAATAATGGGTGGATAGAGATGCATTTATTTTGCTCTGCTCTGGAAGCAAGCCCCGTCCGGGTGTGTGGGGCGCGGAGCTGTGTCTGGAGACGGTGGAGCATTTACCGAAACCGCAGGGAAGGTTACACTGGGAAAGCTATGACCTCATCCTGTTCCAGCAAGGCAGCCGCCCGGGCCAGGAAGAGACAGGCTTTTGAGAATCAGCAGCACCGGGGTCTGCGCTGGTCTCCCGGGGTCCTGGGCGGAGACATGCCAGCCCGGCGCCTCCTCCAGAAACTTCCTGGGATTGTTCTCTGGCCGGGGGGCTGCTGGGAAACCGCAAGCCGAGTGCGCCTTCCAGCGTGTCTTCCTGGGGACTAAGCAGAGATGAGGCTGCAGAAAGGGGGTGGGATGGATGGGGAAGGGCTTCACGGCCAAGGGTACAAGGTTTGAAGGTAGTCCTGTAAATGTGGTCCTGCATTGAATGGCCGGACAGGCTAGGGCAGTAGCCCTGAGGGCCAGCCGTGCTAGCAGGAGTGAGAACGGGAGTTTCCAGTGTGTAGCAGTTAATTGCCTACTGGGTTGTAAAAGTCTGAACACTCGGTCCTGCCATTCAGCCAGCCTGAAATCTGAGCCCATACCGGACTGAATGTTGACATTTGTGAATTTTACCTCATCCTTAACAAAACACCCATTTTTAAATGAGTAAGAGTTACTTAACTAGGTTGAAGGTTCAATTCCTGGTCAGAGCACATGCCCGGGTTAGGAACTCAATCCCCAGTAGGGGGCGTGCAGAAGGCAGCCGATGAATGGTTCTCTCTCATGGATGTTTCTCTCCTTCCTTCCTCTATTAAAAAAAAAAAAAATCAATTAAAAAAACATGTAAAGAGTTGCTTAACCTCTCTTTACCTTAGTGCCTAAAGGAAATGTGAACAACATCTACTACATGCCAGGCATAGTTCTAAGCATGTATGTACATTCATTCTCACAACCCTACAAGACAGATACACTATAGACCCATATTCAGATGAGGAAAGGCAAACGAAGAGTTTAAGTAGCTTTCCCGGGGTTGGATAGTCGCCAGGTAGCGGATCGGGGACTTGAACTCAGGCTTCTAGCTCCAGACTCTGCTGCTAACCACTTTGCTATCCTGCCTTTCTAGGGAGTTCTCCAAGCAGGTTTCCACATTTCTGTCGCCTTCGCTGTAACCGGCTCTTGGGACCCAGTGGGAAGGAAAGAGGCCAGTGCCCTTCTTTCACCATTGCCCTGCTCCTCCAGACCCTTGAGAAAGGGAAAAGTTGTCACTTGTCATAAAATGTTCTGGAATATTCTGCCAGGTGCCCCTTTGGCATCGCAGCATCCTCACGGGTTTGCTTTTTATTTTTTTTTATTTTTTTTACCGTTACTATTAATTTTTTTTTTTACTTTTTACTTTTTAAATATATTTTTATTGATTTTTTTTTACAGAGAGGAAGGGAGAGATAGAGAGCTAGAAATGTCGATGAGACAGAAACATCGACCAGCTGCCTCTTGCACACCCCCTACCGGGGATGTGCCCGCAACCAAGGCACATGCCCTTGACCGGAATCGAACCTGGGACCTTTCAGTCCGCAGACCTACGCTCTACCACTGAGCCAAACCGGTTTCGGCACAGATTTGCTTTCTATCTGCAGGAGAAGAGGTCGGTGCTGGTCATCCTGTGGATCTTGGCCTTTCTGGCGGGGAACACCCTGTATGTGCTGTACACGTTCAGTTCCCAGCAGCTGTACAACAGGTGAGCAGGGGACGTGGGGTGAGGACGCACAACCCTTCTGTGTCGCCTTGTTGTAAACACACATGCCTGGAGCAGAGCTCCCTAGTGGAAATAGAATGCACGCCCCATGTGTAATTTTCTAGCAGCCACAGAGTCCGGGAGGGCTAGCCAGGGACGGCTTCTAGGATAAGGTTGAAACGCAAGCCAAGCCGATACCAGTTTGGCTCAGTGGATAGAGCGTTGGCCTGCGGACTAAAAGGTCCCAGGTTCGATTCCGGTCTAAGGGCATGTACCTTGGTTGTGGGCACATCCCCAGTAGGAGGTGTGCAGGAGGCAGCTGATTAATGTTACTCTATCATCGATGTTTCTCTCTATCCCTCTCTCTAAAAAATCAATAAAATATTTTTTTTAAAAAGAAAAGAAAAACTCAAGCCAAGCTTTCCGATCGGGTACATCTCCTTTGAACATTGACGGTGAGGAGTGAGCCGTTTTGCCACGTTCTGGTGCCACTCCGTAAAAGTGTTTTGGAGAGTTAGTGCCAAGGCGTCAGCTCACATCTCACACACTGCATTTGTTGTCTGGCCCAGAATATCAAGATCCTGGTGGAGGCTGTAGGAGGGGGAGTTTCCCAGAACCATGGGTGAATTTCCAGCTCATGTCTTCCACTGGGCCTGATCACAGGCCCGGGCCTGTCCTCTGCGCCCCCATCAGACCGGGGCCGAGTCAGACCTGCAGCACAGAGAGAAAGAGAAAGAGAGAGGCTTAGCAGAAGAGCAGCAGAGCTGAGGCCCTACTGTGCCTCAGTTTCCTCATCTGCAAAGTGGTGTAGGTGATAGTGCCCGCCCCATAGAGTTGCTGTTGTTACCATCGTCACAGCTGCAGGGCACATCTGTAGTATGTCCATAATCTCATCAAATCCCACCAATAACACGATGAGGGAGGGTACAATTCCCATGTTATTAATGAGAATGCTGAGCCTGACAAAGAGAACATTATTTCCCAGGGTTCAACAAGTGAAGAAGCCTGGATTCAAATTCAAGTCTGTCCTGATACTAATGCCCGTTAGCATGCAGTGTGACCTTGGGTATCTTACCTCTCCAGACTTCAGAGCCTCCTTTATAAGGTGGGGATGAGCAGTGCTCACTGCACAGGACAATGACATACAGGGAGTAAAGAGCTTAGTGCAGTGTCTGGCCCATCCATTTTCCTCTTCCTTCTCTTCCTCCCTCCTTTATGGTGTTGGCTTTTGTTACTTTCTTCTGCTTCCTCTGTGAAGCCTGTTATGGACTCATAAAGCTGGAGGTGACTTTAACTAATGATGCTCTGGGCCAATCTCATCTTTTAACCCTCAAGGGAACTGAGGCTCAGAGAGGTTAAGTTATTCACCTAAGGTCACACAGGAAGTTACTAGCAGATTCAGACACAGGACACAGATGCCTGATTCCCAGTTCAGGGTCCTTCCTACTGGTCATGTTTATAAGGTCCCAGAGTGAGTAGAAGGAGCTGCTGCGGGCCCGTGATCATACGTGAGCATCCTGACTCTCTGAATCCTCCCCACAGCCTCATATTTATGAAGCCCAACCTGGAGACCCTGGACTTCTTCGACCTGCTGTGGATCGTGGGGATCGCAGACTTCGTACTGAAGTACATCACTATCGCCCTCAAGTGCCTCATCGTGGCCCTGCCCAAGATCATCCTGGCCGTCAAGTCCAAGGTAGGCACTGGCTGCGGCCCCCAGGCAGCCCCAACCACACTTGCGGGGGATTCAGGGCACGCTTTGGAGGAGGAAAGAGTGGGCCTGGGCAGAGCCTATGTCATCGTATCAAATGGACAGAGCCTGAGCCGGGAGGTCCTGTCACTCAGCTCTTACAGCGCCTCGAAGCTGAGCCTGGTTCTTCATTTCCTAAGTCTCCTGGTTCAAAGCTGCCCTGGGTGGGTGCAGTTTTCATCTGAGCTTCACTTGAGAAAGGAAAGACAGCATATTGGCATGCCCTGGTTGTGTTTCTCCCAGGGAAGGATGGCTCACAGAAGTTTTGATGCTTTCTGGCATCAGGAGCATGATTTGTAAAGGGAACCAAGGCTCATGAGGAAAGAACTCTGTGATTGATTAGTGATGTCTGCTGTGGACATAGGATGGGGAATGAAGGTAGTGATATTTTGCAGAGTACCGTTGGGAAAGGCCTGTAGACGAATGTTGGGTGGAAGAGGTCTTACACAGGCACCACCATCATAATTCAGAGGACTGAGCAGGACTAGGACAGAGCAGCACCTTTAGGATATAATTAATGCCAACGCCCCTGCAAGAAGACCCAAAGCGAAGGCAGATGGGACTCAACAATCTCTGAAGACTCCTGCTTTTCATGCCATCTTTTCAACTTCAGAAAGCTTAGAATTTGGTTGGTGGAAGAGGAGGTTTGGAATTGGCCGTCCATCTTGAGTGACATCTGACCAAACCCATTGGCCAGGTGTATAGGGAAACCACACTCTGTACAGCTTCCATAGTGGGCTACCCGCTGCCCTGTCTCCCACCCACTACACCTCTGATCCTTCTGCCTTAAACACCCTTTTCCTTACACGTGTCTTGACTAACTCCTGCTCCTGCAGATCACAGCCTCTTAGAAATCTTCCCTTCAGACTAGGAATGGTGCCCCTACTGAGATCACTCCACACCCTATCCTCCCCCTATTCTGGGACTCACCACCCTGACTGTAATTGTTTGTTAGTTGTCTGCCTTCTCTGCTTGAGTGTAACCTCTGTGACAGCAGGAAATGAATGCATCTAGCTTGTTTGTTGATGGATCACCAGTATCTGGTATGTACTCGGAAGTGTTCATTGTTCATATGCATTAGAGTTGGGTGGGTGAATGGATGAAGTAGGAGGCTGAATAGGAAGGTTGGTGGATAAGATAGATGGGTGGGCAAGTGATTGGATGGATGGATGGATGGATGGATGGATGGATGGATAGGTGGATGCATTGATCGTCTAGTCAGCTACACTAACTCTTACCATTGCCTCTTGCAGCAGCAGGGAAAGCTTATATCTACTCTCAGCTCAGCTCAAATATCTTGTATTTGGTAGGTGTTCAAACGCCTCTGTCACAAAGATGCAAAAATCCACAAGGCAAAGTGGTACTAATTTCTCTGTGCTAGAAAGGACCAAAGAGATCTGGCAGCCAAACTAATAATAATAAATACAGGTTAAACATTGCTGAGCAATGGCCTGAGCCAGGCAGTGTGAGGCAATGCCGTTTGTCTGAGAAATGTTTGCTGGATGCCACCTATATGCCAAGCAATGTCCTGGGAACTGGGGTTGCATCAGCAAACCATGGAGACAAAAATCCATGAATTCGTGGAATTTGTTGTTTAATCTTCACACACCCAGGAGAGATGATGCTGGGAATACCGCTTTTGAGAAAGCAGAAGCTGAGTTAAATAACTTGCCAAAGATTGCAAACCTCATAGTCACAATATGGAGAGCACTGGGAGCCGCTAACATGGAGTCAGCCCTGTGTATGGGGCAAAAAGGTTCGAACTCATTTCCTCCTGACAACTGTCTCACAAGGCACGTGTGCCATTTTGTGGGTTTCTTTATTGAGGCAAAATTCTCATAAAATGGCCCAGCAGTCATTTTAAAGTTACCATGCAGTGGCACTCACTGAACGCACAGTATCGTGGAGCCATCACCACTGTTGGTTCCAAGACATTTTTATCACCCCAAGAGGAAACCCTGCACTCATTAACAGTCACTTGCCCTCCCTATGACCCCTGGAAACCATCAATCTCCTTCCAGTCTCTATGGATGTACCTGCTCTGGACATCCTATATAATAAAGAGGTAATATGCAAATTAACCCTCACAAGATGGCTGCCTACAACCAGGCCAACAGGGAGAGGAGGGCAGTTGGGGACAATCAGGCTGGTAGGGGGAGGGGCAGTTAGGGGTGACCAGGCAGGCAGGCAGGTGAGCGATTAGGAGCCAGCTGTCCTGGATCAGGCCTAAACCGGCAGTTGGACATCCCCCAAGGGGTCCTGGATTGGAGAGGGTGCAGGCTGGCCTGAGGGGACCCTCCCCCTGCCCACCACTGTGCACTAATTTTTTGCACCAGGCCTCTAGTTTCATATAAATGGAATCAGATATTATATGATCTTCTGTATCTGGCTGCCTCCCTTAGCATCATGTTTTTAAGGTTCACTCGCATGTAGCTTTTTGGGGCTGAATAATATTCCATTATGTGGCTAGACCACCACTTGTTCATTCATTCATCTCTCAATCAACGTTTTCATTGTTTCCATTCTGGGGCTGTTGTGAATAATGCCGTTTTGGACATTTGTGGACAAGTATCTATTGGAACAAGATTGTTCTGGGTTGTGGAAATGCAGGGTTTCATTTTTTTTGAGGAACCACCCATCTGCTTTTCACAGCAGCTGCGCCATTTTGCTTTTCCTGGCAAGTGCTGTTTTCATCCCCATTTTTCAGAGGAGACGACAAACACAATGAGAGATTAAAAAGGCAGCCCACGGCCACACAGCTTGTAAGTGGCCAAGCGAGGATTTGAACTCAGGCGGTCCGACTGCAGAACCCCTGCTCTGAGTTACCAGGCAGTCCTCCCTCCCATCTCAGTTCCCTGGATTCGTTAGGGAAGTCCCTCAGAGTGGACTGAAGAGGGGGGCTCCCGTGCACCATCTATATAAAATGTCCTCAAGTTCACGCCGTGGCTACCTCATTTCCTTCTCCTTCGAGGGGATACTTTTGGGGGGCGAGGGGCGGGGACGGGACCTGACACCTTTCCCCTGATCCACCGAGGTGTAGGCGACAGTTATTAATGTCCCCTTGGCAACTGTCCAGCTCCCTTTTTCTGATTATTATTATTTTATTCAGCGAGATTAATGTGCCAGGTCAGAGCATAATCCAGCCTGTAGAAAGTGATGTGAATAGTCTTCTCAAGATAAATTGCAGGCTTGGAAAAGGTTCACAGCCTCTCCTTGCCTGTCTGAGTGCTCTCCCGAATCCTCATCAATCCTTGTCGGGGCGGAAGAAAAGACGGGTCTTCATTTGCAGCTGGGGGGGTGAGGGGGAGAGGAGCACATCTGTCAGGGACGCCTAATGGCTCACAGCACAGATGCTCTTTGCCGCGCCTCCATGCCAGCCGCTGAGAGGGTGGGTTGGTTTTTAACGTAATTATTATCCTGGAAGGGCTTCTGGTATTTGGGTTTGCTTGATGGTCCCAGGGTCCCCGATGTGTAAGGCTGAGCGAGCCCCCTATTCCCAGGTGCCTTGGGACACCGAGTCCTCTCACATCTGGGCCTCACAGGAGAGCCATGGCCATTGGCCAGCCAACATGGGGGTGGGGTTAACAATGGTGACCACTCATCTTCAACCTCAGCGCCAAACCATCACGCTGGCTAGGTGTCTAGGGCGGCCACTTGTCATTGTAAAGAGAGAAAACGTATATAACCCATACGTCTTGGCCCTGCCTCATCTGGCTTCCGCCCACGTCTCCGACCTCATCAACCCGTGACTCTTTCCCTGGCTTGTGCTGGACCAGCCACTGGTGGCTTTCTGGTCCCCCCCAGAGCGCCTTCCTTCTCAGACCCTGTCCACTTACTGCTCCCTCTGCCTGGGGAGGTCTTCCCTGTGCTCCATGGCCGTCTCCTGCCCATCAGTCAGGCCTCATTCCAGTGTCATTTCTTCTGAGACCCTGTCCCTTCCCAGAACACCCCGAGGAAAGTGGCGGTCGCCATCCTGCATTATCACACTAGCCATTTGATCAGCATGTGCCAGTATCTGAAATGACCAGATCGTTGTATGTTTATTTTCTGTCTCCCAGCGAGGATGTGGACTCCAGGGAATGAGGACCGTTAGGTCGGTCTTGACTCCCAGGAGTCCATGCACAATAGTTGTGATGGGCTGAATGGAGAGGCTCGTGTTAAGTGATCAAGGGGTTAAAGCCAGGCCTGCTGCTCCCCACCACGTAGAGTTCTCCTTGGCCTCCTCTCGCTCACCAATGCCACTGAAGTCACTGAGGACCGGTTTGCTTATGGGGCAATGCTAGACCCTGAGAGTGTAAAAATGAGCAGGAGGCCATCCTGATCTTCATCCTCTTCCTTTATTCTTTGCAAGTAAAGCTTCTTTTTATATTAACCTAACCCAAACCTAGTTAAAGAAGGCAAATCTCTTGTACCAGAATCATATACTCCAGCCCCTACTTTAAATGGTAGTAGTAATTAAAAACTTAACTTGTCCACATTGCTCCTTCCTTTGTGAAAATTACTCTTGGAGCAGGGTTCTAGAGCTGCACTGTTCAGTACAACAGCCACCAGTCTGTTTAAGTGGCTGTTTAAGTCTAAATTCATTAAATTAAAAATTCAGTCCCTTGGGCCCTACGCCGGTTCGGCTCAGTGGATTGACCATCTGCCTGTGGACCAAAGGTCCCGGGTTTGATTCTAATCAAGGGCATGTACCTTGGTTGTAGGCTCTTGGCCCTGGTCAGGGTGCATGCAGGAGGCAACCAGTCAATGTGTTTCTCACATATCGATTGTTTCTCTCTCTGTTTCCCTCTCTTCAACTCTCTCTAAAAGATCAATGGAAAAATACCCAGGTGAGGATTGACCAAAATATAAAAATAAAAAATTTCAGTTCCTCATTTCACATGCTCAACAGCCACACATGGCTAGTGGCTACCATGCTGGGCAACACAGAGAGAGAACATCAACAT